ATAGTACTATTAGTTTAGTAATAAACTAATAAGTTATTTAGTTAATTTTAATTTCTAGTTGTACTACTAATTTATGTGTGTACTATTTCTTTTTTTTTTTTTGTATGTTTTGCAATCTAACTGAAATATATGTATGTCATGGTTTATGATTTTTTTATCAAGAAACAACAAAATTTAACTTTTTAAATTAACATGTTTATAATTCAGTGTAACTAGACCATAGAAATAAATATTTTTATTATTATTATGCATTTATGCAGATGTTTTAATAACTACCTTTCACATCATTCTGCAATACTATGTTATAACATGTTTAATTGACTCAATGTTGTATTAGAAAAACAGCTAAAACTCAGCAGAATTTTGTTTTACTTTACTATGCTATGTAAAGTTTCATTATTTCAAGGGCCTTGTAAAAGCAATACTAAATTCATTTTTTTAGACTTCCTACCATGATCAACAGTATATCAATAATTTAGATGCTTAGCTAGGTTTCCTAAAATGATTAATGATGCATAGCCACCAATGGTTGATGTTTTGCTCATGTAATTAGGTTACAGATGGTCCAGTCTCATGCATGGTATTACATGTTTTGTTGCAGATAACAATCGAATTTTTTACTCGAGTTTTACTGTGCTGACAATTATGAAAGCATAATGTACTCTTGCAAGAGAAATATTTCAAAGAAAGAGGTTTTTTAATCATGTTCTAAAATCTCGTATTTTCATGCTAAAAGCTTAGCCCTAGGATTATAATTAAGTAATAAAAACTTGAAATATGAATAATTTGAAAGTTTTTTATGTAAATACTTTGCACACATACTAAAACAATTTATTCTCAAAATTGAAAAAACAATTTCTCTTATGGAAATTGAAATCACTTAGTGCAGTATCGTTAATATACATAATTTATTTGAAATACTAATATTGAGGCAGCTCCTCACATTACAGTTTTTTTTTAAGCTTAGGATTTTTATAACTGTGGATAAATGCATTGTGATGTTATGAACTCTTAATAATTAAGGCTAGCATTTGAAGGAGTAATATAATGCAATTCAAACAAAAAACTAATTAAAACAATGAACAATATTCACAAAATAAAAAAAAATGGATTTCTATAAATTAAAAACTTTATTCAAAATAAGGGAACTCCTGGGCCTGGGAAGTTGTTGGATATTCATTTTCTTTGTTTTTCAAGGACTGTAAAAAATCTTGATTAGCTAATAATAGAAAAAATTGTATAATAATAATCGGCTGATTATTAGTAACATGTAGTTGGACAGTTTTCATATGAGTATAAACACAGAAGAAACTGAATTAGAAATCTGATATTGTAGTATTAATTCTTCCCCTTTGTGTGTTCTTTTTTTTAAGGAAAGTACTGTGGCAATTAGTAAATTAGGTTTCTCCATCAGATAGTGAAATGATTAAATTAGTCTTTGTTCAGTCCATTCTTTAGTAAGTGTTCTTATTGAATTTGATAATTCTCTAGTAGTTAATTATGTTAAAATTAAACTTGTAATGTAATTATTGAACTTAGGAATAGATTTTTCTTGTATTTTGTGCTGCACTGTTTCAAATCATTCATTCTTTTCAAAGTAGAAAAATAAAGAACAACGTAATGAAAGTTTCCCCAAAGAAGAACAGATGTGGGTACACAGTGATGAACAAACACCTGAAAAGGCTTTCTCTGGCAAATACAACTCTGAATCACCCTCATTTATATCATTAAGGGTAGGGGACAAGTGGAATATAAATTAATTCATTATAAAATGTATTTAAAAAATAATATGTTGTCATCACCTACCGGTAAATGTATGTTGTGTGTATGTGTAGGAGGATATGCCAACTTTTTCAGCATTACCCAAATCTTGATACATTCTTGTGAATTAAAAGTTTAATCTAAATTCTAACATCTGTTTGAACTTGCTCACAAAATCTCCTTCAGAAGTTATGTATTTTCATAAAGAAGTCAAAATTAAAACTTAAATTCTCATTTTTGCTAATTGGATAGATACATGGACTAGTTGAATGATTAGGTTAAAAAAATGTTGTCATCTTTAATATTTTAAAATTTCATTAAACTGTGTGTATACAATCTCCAGAAATAGTACTTTATTCTTAAAATATTTTGTGTTTGAAAAACTGGCAGCTAACTCATAGAAATATAATTTCATAGTCTCTTCGAGCAGAATTGTACTTTTTCTGAAATGCCACAAAAAATAGTTTAAGTTTGAAAGGTACTTTTTATAAGAAGACAAATTCAACAGACTGTGGCATTAAATGTTTGCTACATTTCATTCAATATATTTTGTACACCACAAAGTAACATTAATTTTATTGTTATCTCTTTCTTGATTTCATTTTCAATGCATCTAAAAAAGCAAAACAGGAGGACTATATCATTATTTATTACATTATAAGTGCTCATTATGATGTTGCCTGTTTGAATGATGAATATAAAAGAAATAGGTTATAAATATTGTGAAATCAAGCAAATATTTGAGAATCAAACTACATTTTCTTTTAAATTTGAAATTAAGTGTGTTTTTACTTTTCAGATTTTTCTTTTTCTAGCACTAGCCAGTCTAAGCATGATTACAAGTGGCTTCCTAATTTTAGTGATTCCTGGTAAGCTGTTTTGTTGAAAGTCTTGTTTGTTTCCTGTTCTAAGAAACTTGATTAATTTAAATTAGTTCAGTGATGTAATCTTATTTCTTATTTTATCCCGATTACTTTAAATTTATTTGAAATGAATAAATTCTTAAGCAAGTTTGGTAATCATTTATCAGTTCAACACAATAGGGTGCAAAAAACGGAAATCAAAATTTTATTCTAAAGGCACATAAATAAAGTTTTCAATTTGTTGAATTTCTTATTCAAAGATAGTCACATTTCATGAACCATATACATTTTGTAGCTTGTATATGAAGTTTTATTTGACCTTCTTTATTCTTGTAAGTTGCTATAAAATAAATAAAATTAATTATAAGCCTTTGTAGAGATGAGTCATACAAATGTAATATACCATCTAATTTAGAATACAGTGTAAACCTAACTTAAAATGAATTTTTAGATTTTTAGAATTAAATGAATTTCAAACAGGTACTTATCTCTGAAGTCAAGAATTTGGACTCATGGCATCAACAAAACGTGATTCAAAATTTCCTGATGTCCTTTATGCATTGCAGAGCATGTGTCACTTATCAGGGGATCTAATGTAAGCTCTGCTTTCCTGCCATAATTTAGATTTTATTGAAAGTTGTGATGAGGTGAGAGAGAAAGTATTTCTGAGGTAAATACCCGTGTGTTTGAATTTCATTTTAATTCTAAAAATATGAAATTCATATCACCTGTACTACATCTAAAACACTGAAAGCCAGAATACTCGCATTGTAAAAGGAGGTGTGAACCAAAGAACTTGAAAAGAAACAGAAAAGTATAAGACTTGAAGCTACAGGGCAGAAAGATAATAATATAGACTACAAAAGTATGTAGCCAAGCAGAGTTGAAGTAGAATCCAGAACAAGAAAATAATTTGAAGAACTGGGCTCAAGGGTGAATGAGTAGAGTGGACTAGTCCTTATACAAGGACTGGATCCAAAGGACACTCAGAAAGAAGGCATTCTTCTCAGCAGGGTAGCTTCACCCATGACATCATTTAAGTCAAGTAAATGAGTCGGTTTAAGAGAGGTAATTGTATATTGAACCTATGGAGCCAAAATGGGATACAGGTGGTGGCATAAACAGGAGAAATACTATGTCCTGCTCCTTTAGTTGAAGTACTTGTGGAAGCAGCCCAGACATGTATTATGAAAAGGTATACTACACAGGCAGTAAACCCTCTTCATCCTTATTGAAAATGGGAAGTGAGTCACACAACTAGCCACATTATTGAATTCTCTGGGAGAACCAAGGAAAGACCCAAGTAGTCCTCAAGGATGGGCTCAACAACTTGAGGACAGTGCAATTGGAACATTGAAACATAAAGAAATAAGTAAGAATAAAAACATAGATGATCCCCATTCTTGTTGGAGCTGAGACATCTAGTGATAAAGGTAGTCTAATTTCTCTAATGGCATACAGTGTTGTGCACTTGGAGATGGGAAAGGTACTTGCTGAGGCATCATCATCATCCACATATGGAACCTTCTGTCCACTTCCAAAGGAACTCACAGAGCTCCAGCATAGAGGGTAGAATTTTGTCTCACACAAATGCAGAGGTTTTATGTGATATGCGAGAGTTTTAACTGGACAAATCTATACGTGGAGATTCACCTATGGTGAGACCATGATTTTAGTTTATAATCCAAAAAGTTTTCAATCTAATACATCCATAGAATTGTGAACAAGGTTTTTGGGTGATATAGAAGTTCTTGGGTTGCCTAGGACAAATGCAGAGGTTAAAGAAGTCTTGACTAAATGAATCAATATAAATGTAGGTTGTTGATTTATAAGAAGAGACTGTGTTGAATTATTTTATCTTTCTTATTTTGTTTGTTTGAAGTCAAAGTCTCGGACACTGTGGAAATGGTTAACAATGAGTTTTGGGCAGAATATAGAAATAAAAAACTGCATGGGTGCCACTGAGCCTGAAGAAAAGTTACAGGTGCCAAACAGATTTCTAAAACTGAAGAAAAAGTGGCTTGATGAAGGTAAAATAGCCAAACCATATTCAGATTTACCTCCATGCCAGCCTACAAAAAGTTCAGTAAAGGGTACATAGAACAGGAGGCCAAAGAAATACCAGTTGGTGAATGTGACAAGATGTAACCTAAAATTCATGCTTAAGATTGTCTGAGACATCATGATAAACAAGAAAAATCAGCTGTATAAGCCAATTTGTTAATTTGGATGGAGTGAGATATCTGGGACAAGAATCACCACAAGGTATAAACAGTTGAGGTTGATTCCTTTGAAATGATTATGTACATGAAATATGGGAAAAACAACTATGACCAGACATACAAAACGTTCTTCAGAAGGAGAATTGAGGTCAGTTAGAGGAGTTAAGACAATAGGAGAAAAACAGTGGTAGTCATCTCTCACTGCTCGATTTGGTAGGAAGGATATCAGGATATAAGTACAGAGTCTTTTGGGGAGAAAAAAAAGAGTATGAGAAGCTTTAATGGCAAAAATGTGATCGTCTTATCCTGGAAGTGTGGAGCAAAATAAAATATGTCTTCAGGGAATGATGGTACAGTGAAAAAGTTGTGAAGGATTCAAAAGAAGTCGGGCAACTTAAGACCAGACATAAATGCCACTGATGATAATGACCAGGTACTTGTGGAAGATGTTATACAAAACTTGAAAAAGAACCTGAAAATGAGAAGCCGGTGGAGGCACATGACTTATGTAGCAACTGAAAGTGTCTGAGAATGCAGCTCTGTAGCTTGAAAAAATAGAGGAAAACAAGCCATAGTGATGAAAGAGGTACATGAAAAAAAATTAGGCAAGCTGTTGAAGAGTTTGAGAAAACAAGAGACTGAATTCTGCAAGCACCAACTGCTAACGATAGACCAAAAAGACTAATATACTGCCAGGGAGGAATATGTAGAATAGGAGACAATATTCAAGCTAATGAAGGATTACATAATAGCCAGTGGTGAAGCTGTAAGTGGCAAACATTGTTGTGAAAGATGCACCATACAAAGTAATGGAAATATGAAAAAAAATTAGGCAAGCTGTTGAAGAGTTTGAGAAAAACAAGAGACTGAATTCTGCAAGCACCAACTGCTAACGATAGACCAAAAAGACTAATATACTGCCAGGGAGGAATGTGTAGAATAGGAGACAATATTCAAGCTAATGAAGATTACATAATAGCCAGTGGTGAAGCAGTAAGTGGCAAACATTGTTGTGAAAGATGCACCATAAAAAGTAATGGAATTAGATCCCTCCAAGATAGATAAGAATAGTGGAAACTGTGTGATAATACGAAAAACTGGACAATGGAACCATCTGATCTTGGCCAATACCCGAGAAAGATGATGATGAAGAAGCAGGTAGGCATAGGGAAAAATTATCCTAAGATGGGTTTAAAGCATCTACTGCTAAAGAAGCTGAACTCAGAACTGGAAATGAATGTCAGGAGTTTCTGCCCTTCTTACCACCACACTCACGGACAATTTGTTTGTAGTAACATGTATCAACAGGAAGGGAAGGGCTCAATCTTATAACCTTTGTTTACTACAGTCTCTACTTTTTGGCTACATCCACATAATTTCTTTCTCTCAGCTGGTATTTCATTGGTCGTGCCAATTGTTTTATCGCACTATGCTTTATGCATTCGCAATGGCAGTGCATTATCTTCTTATGCTTTACTGCTGTTTAACAAGCCAAATCTCCAACAGAATGATGTGAGAATGGGATATCTCAGAAAACTATAAATCCCTGAAGAGAGGCATTAGTGAAAAATCCAGGTCTGGAGGTAGTAGAAGAAAAGAGGAACCTAAAATGGAACTCATAAATGAGACATATTTAAAGGAATTGGAAGAAATTAAAAAAAAACACAAAAGGTCTGGGGATAGACTTCATGAATAAACAAGATCAAATTAATGGTATCTCAAGTAAGCACAATCCGTGGCAATTGCCACATAAAGAGAAACCGTCATTCCCCAAACAGAGAGGATGCATTTGGCAGATAGAGAAGTATGCACACACAAAACTTTAAGGATTGCAGAGCCAAAAGAGTTCCTGGAAAGGTGTTAATGCAAAATTCTAGATGAATGAGATATTAAGTAGGCACAAATTGAATCTTGGACACATGAATAATCCATCTCAGAGAAGCTAACTAGTAGGACAATTCAGTGTGAGGCAGTGATTTAGTAAGAATCCTCTAATCATCCATGTAATAATAATGATAGATACTGAGTTTGTATAGAAGACCAGCTACTGGTTTGACTGCACATGTGAAGACATAGGATGTTAAAGCCAGACTGTAAGAGGGAGGGCTGAAAACTGATAAAACACTCCACTATATGAAAAATGAAGACATTGACAAGAAGATAGGTGAATGGGGATGTGTAAGTAAGCATCTTTGAAATCCCTAGTTGTTATCCAAAAATTGTGATGAAGGAACTTTCACAAGGTTCTCTTAGGTTCCATCAGGAAAGTAGGAATATCTGAGTAACAAATGAGATGGGAAGGATTGAATACCAGTCTCCAACCTCCTGTTTTTTGTCGATATCACAAAGAGATGAGAGTAAAACTCCCAGAGAAACAAGAAGTACAACATTGATATACCCTTGTTGTAGAAAATATTCAAAACTATTAGATCCAAAATCTAGTTGAAAGTGGAAGAAGATGAATAGAAAATCAAATTCAAGAATCTGATGAACCCAACAGTCCATAGATGAATAAAAATCTGGGATAACTCCACAAGTTTGGATGGAGGAGTCATCCAGAACAGAAAATTAGTGAGTGAGTCATAAATACCTACCTTGCTTATATTGACACTAGCCGACACAAAAAAGAGTGAGTAGATATAGTGAGCAAAGAACATTGCACACAGGTTTATGGAAGGGAATAATGACCAGATGCAAAACAAGATGGTAAAAACCATAATCAGTCTTTGCTATACTGATTGGGAAATAAGTTGAAGTGAAATACCTGTAAAGACAAAGATGAAGTAGGAGTTCTTTTATTGTTATACACAGTGGTTGCAATAGAACTTAGAAGTCCTGATATGAAATCAGATTAGTCCTACACACCCATTAAAACATTCTGAAAATTTCATAATAAAGACATCAAAGTAGATATGTGATCCTGATTAAAAGTAATCAGGAGAACAACAATAGCCAGTAATTCCACAGATAAAAAGAATGTCTCAAAATAAGACAACTCATAACGTGCATAGCAGAAAACTGATATCAGGATTAGGGCTAGTGCTGTAGCAGACAAATTTAGATCTGTAGGCTTTAAAGACAATTGGGCCTGAGCATTAAAAGAAAAATGTCAAGTGTTACAATAATTAAGTGTACACAGAACTGTGATACCCACCAGAAATATCAATATACAACAGCACAAACATGAAGAAAATCAGGGCTGACAATATAACTACTCAGTAACTCTACATGCCATAGGCAAATTGCATAAGTAAGGCCACCAACTAAGTTATAGAAATCCTGATAGGTGTAGAAATACTTGCATGAGAAAGAACATCATAGCAAAGTTAACTGTACAACTGTGAAAAATAAAACCTAAATTATGATGGTAAAGTAGAGTTTATGTAAGATATTTTGATGCTTGTTGCTTGCACAATAAATCACATGGAAGGTGGGAGAATGGAGGATTATGGGTAAGTGATACATATTCTGAAAAGTGTAAAGGACATTCAGAAAGTTTGAGTTGCATGTTTTGTTGACAGTCTGAGTTGAAACCCAACAAGGAAAGGCTTTCAATATTTCAGAGATAGTCTACCCAACTTGAATTTGTATTTACCATTGCTGTGTAGTGCTTCTGTGACTTAACTTAATGAACGTCTTTTGAAAAAAAATAGTTGCTTGGTTAAATAACATTAATATAAATTCCTGTCAGTTATTTTAAACAAAAATGTATAAAGAGCTTCAGTTCTATATATTACTAGTATTAATTTATCATATGGTAAGTAATTTTAACCCAAGGTTATATGTGCATGCACAACGAGCGATAGTTTGGTTTTGTTATAACAAATAGAGGATCAAGTTTAAATTGCATATGCAACAAATAAGAAATTACTTGGTGAGTGTGAGATTTAATTTTTGTGTATCGATGTAATGAGTGGAGGTATAATTTGTTTATATAAACTGTTAGTTAAGTGTTTCTTGAAACATTTCCAAATCAAAGAGTATATCTATATTTTTCATTTTTTGCAGTGCTGTTGGGACGTATGATTTTTGACAAGTTTCTGGGAAAACCCAATGCCCATGATGCATATACTATTACTTGTGGTTTGTTTGTATTATGGATGGGTTTAAGACTTGTCAATTTTATGTACAAAGATTACCAGAAAGCTCTGCAATCAAACTGTATGGTAAACACAGTGAAAAGTTGGCTGATTATTGTAAGTAGTAATATGTACAACAATTTTGCTTTAAATATACATTAATATTTTTGATTAATATATATATATATATACATTCATCAAAGGTAAAATTGAAAAGAAAATTTGTGAGGTAGAGGCCTAATGCATTCCCTGATTGGCCATACCCTCTGCTGTGGACTGCAGTTTTGCCTATTCAAGGCTCATCAGCACAGCTTGGGTCAGCAAACCAAATAAACAGTTAGGCCTCTTATATTGTTGATGTGTATATAATACCTATGGGGTTTTTGAGCCCTTTTAAGTGACCATACAATAGCCTAAATTAATTTTACCTTGGGATTTTTTTCAATTGACTGTTTTTCTGAAGTGCTTACTCATTTTCTCGATATTATGGTTACACTTAGGTTTGAAATCTACTTTTTTACTGCGTGTTATGTGTACACTTAGAAGATAAAGTGATTTGTTAATTTTGATTTGTGAATTAACATTTATTTAGATATTTTGCTTTACAAGATTTAGAAAAAGAATATAATACAGATATTAGGGTCAGTTTTTTTTGTTCAGTAAGATGATATTGCAAACCAGAAATCTGGAAATATTTACATTAATATATAAAATACACTTAAAGTTTACCCTCTCTCTTTTTCCCTTTTTTTCTAGACTTTGAAGTCACTTACTGGAATGTTCTTAGTACTAGGCATTTTACCATTGATATTAGGACTTTTCTTCGAGCTGGTTTTTATAATACCATTTCAGCTACCTTACAGTGAAGCACCAGTATTTTATATATTTCAGGTTAGTCACTTTTCTGTATTTTGACTTGTTAGAATATGTGCTAAAATCGCTTGTACAAGAGAAAGATAATCAATGCATTGTTGTTATACAGACTCTTATATAGAAACAACATCCTCTGCATCAATCCTACTTAACAATACAGTTCATTTACCTACTAGTGATAGCCTGCTTTTTTTTTCAGTGCATCAGGACAAAGTGCTTACCTTTCCTTGTGAAACATGTTAATGCATGGCTATTTTAACTATAAAAGTTTAGACAAATATTTCAAAAATAAAACGATTTTATTTGTTGTATATTTCATTGTATGATTTAACTTTGTTTCGTCCAAATATTGCTATTAGTTTTACCCGATACCAAAGCATGTGTATAGGTGCATCATATGAAAAAAAGATGAAAGTATAAAGTTATTCAATATTTCTGTGGAAATTGTAATTATTTTTTGAAGTTTTCATGGAAGGCCTGCATTCAATATATTGAATATTTGTTAATATTCTGATTTTAGATATTCTTCATGTAAGTTTCAAAATTTTATTGGATAAACCTACAGTTTACATATAAGAGTAAATATTACCGCCATATAAAAATTTCTGTCAATTTTAGTAATGCTATTACATCCAATTTATTAGGGGATTTGTTTTCACTTGGATCTTTTTAACGTGAATTCTTGACCCCAGATTTTGTAGTTGCTGTATCTTGTGATTGAGTGAGGGAAGATAAATCATGAGGAACAAAAAAAATGGTATAATAATTTGCATATGTTTCCCATTCCTCAAAATAAAAAATAACCTTATAATTACGACTAAAAAAACTTAGAGTACTCAACCAAAAATTATTCATTTAAAGTTTGATTGGATTACAGCATTGTGTTCATTCTCCTCTCTTTGAGTTGAGCTATGACTTTAGTATTCAGATACACTGATGTCCAACAGATATTTAAATATATCTGCAAAATACTAGTTCTGGAAATGTTTAGCAGTGAATAAAATAAACATGCACAGCAAAGGAAATTGAAACAACCACAAGGAACAAATACACAAAACTTAACTTACCATCTTCTAGATTCTTTATGAAAACTTCTACTGGTTAGAAGTTCTGGTTCTACTGGAGTAGAACTGAAGGCTGAAATTACAGCTATACCAGATGAAAATAAGAGGAAGAATTATGACACTAAGGTCCTGGTACTGTGTCCTACAATCCTTAAATTACATTAGTAATTGATTATTTTCATTAAACATATTCAAGGAAGATAAACTCCTTACCCATACTAATTTGTACAGATTTCTGTACCACCCTCTTGAATAAACGTGACCTCATTTTAAGAGAGCATGACACAAAAACAGGTCAAAGCAAGTATAAGCCTTACAGAACAATTGTTGTGGAATGTAACATATGTCTAAGCAAGACAACTAGCACAAATATACATCCTTCTTTCATTTGGCTTAACATCCAAGATAAATGGCTAGAACACATTACAGTTTAGTTAGTCAGCTAGTGGAACATATAGGACTCTAAAGAATTTTGATTGACTGTTAGCTTCTGTCTCTAGGACTGGATCATTGGAGTTCTTCAGATCAAGTTGTTAGCTGCTGTTATCCTCACAAGACCTGGCTGGTGGTTAGCTCACATAACTGATCAGGTTCGTTAGTAGTGATTTCATGAATGTAGGTAGATGTATTTTAGTTATGAATGAATGAAGCCACAATTCACACACACATGATTTGATACTGTAGTTCATTTGGAAGTGCGTAAACTTCAGAGAAATAGTGTAAATTGAAAGTTCTAAGTTCAAGCCCCTGTCAGAGTGGAATTACTAACATCCTGATGTACAATATTGGTGTACAGTTAGTGGTCATTCATTCCTAAGAGTGATCTGAGTCCATAGTTTCTAGTCATCTCTATGTATGTTTGACTTAGTGGTTTACTTGGTGTAGTGTGTGTGAGTAATTGAATATGTAGTTTCTAAAGTAATCTGTATATGTTTGACTTAGTGGTTTGCTTGGTGCGCTGTGTATGTTTAATTAGATATGTAGTTTCTATTCCTCTCTATATATGACTTAGTGTTTTGCTTGGTGTACTGTGTGTGTGTAATTGAGTACATAGTTTATATATGTGTATATATATATATATAAAGTCATCTCAAGCCCCTACCTTCCTACTCTTATGCCCCCAAATTGCAAACTTTTTCTCTGTTATAAAAATTGTCAACAACAACATAAAGATACCCTGATTCCACACTTTGTTTGCTGCAAGTTATTAAGAAAGAAAAAAAGATTTTAGCTTTAAAATGAATGAAACACAGGGACTTGTAGGCCTTTATATAAAAAAAATAATTTTGATATGCTAGTAAGTGTTAATAAGAAATAATTTACTGTTTAGATTCAGACCATAAAAATGTTTATAAAACCAATTGAATAGGAAGTTAAGAGGATCTGTTTGCTTCTTATGGATTTTTACTCTATGTGTACCAGAGGCAACCCACCATTCCCATAGTCTTCTCTAACCCCCCCCCCCAAAAAAAGGCTTACGTTATGATGTTTATTTTATTGAGCCCTTGTCCTCTGCACATTGCTGCAGAACTTGCATTTAATTGAAAGATATTTTTTTTTTTTTACTGCACACTATCAACTTCTGCATTTGGTCAAAATCTACAACAATACATGAAGCAGAAAATCATTGTTGATAAGATCCACAGCTCTTTTCTTTCTTTAAAGTTGCTTTTGTTAACAGTGTTTGTTGGAATATTAATTTCATTATTAAGATTATTTTGCATTTTTACTTTGTATATAATTTTAGAAAACTGTTACTTTATGATCCATATGTATATATATAAGTAAGGTTTACTGTATTACTTTCTGTTAATTTTATTAACAGAGTTAGTAAGAATGTTTAATTCATTTATTTTTATTAATCTTAATATATTATAGTACTTTTATATAAGAATTATTTTGTACTTTTGACTTAGAATAGGGACTTTGGGATAACCTTAATGTCTTAAGCTGACCAAATATCTTGAAATATTACTGGGATTATGGCCAAAAATATCATTAACAGCGAGCCTGCCCAATTGATGAAACAGTGTTTATTGTCTTTAAAATTAGGAATGTAAGAATGGTATATTTTGATAAATGTACTCATTGCTGGTTTGATTTTTGATTTGAATAGATAGCTTGTTTTAAGCAGAAGTTTATGTTAATTTATGTTCTAAACTTAGGACAGTTTATTGTAAATATAAGTGGAAAACAACAAATCGGTAACAGTATTTATAGTAGTATTCTGACCTTTTTACATAAATGTGGAGTATATACTTAAGCAATTGAACATTTTACTCTTATGCTATTTATAAATTTAGTTCAATATATAACAAAAATATCCTTTAGTTATTTGTATGGAATAACTAAAACTGATGTCCTGGAGTTATGCCAATTGAGACCAAAAGTGATGTTACTACATAATATATTTTAATTAATTGTAGAGTATGCACATCAGACTTTTTACACATGGGTACACAGTATTCAAATTTGTTATTAGAACTTCAGTCACAGATAATCTTCGGAGCTTCAAAATAAAACAATTGTAAACATTGTTCCTTTTACTTAAGATAATTTTCTCTCACTTCTGTGCTTAATTAACACAAAGCTTAAGATGTCACACCTTTGTATAGGGCATGGGATTCTGAGATGTGTATCATTTACAGTTAGAATAAAGGGGTTCCAATTTAAAACATTTTATATCCTTTGCAGCATTATAGACCACATGGTCACAAAGCACTAATCTAACATTCTCTTGGTTCTCCTCAACGGATGAATAATCCAGGAATATTGTAAAGATAACATAGCTTCATGGAACTCGCACTCGTAGATAAATATACATGTTGTGTATGTGTGAATATTTATCCCCTTAATCACTCATTATAATATCAACCAAAAAAAACAAGAAAAAACATGACCATACTAAACAGAGTGGATGAAATGGTGGTTACCGAAGTTTATAGAAAGAAGCTGCATAATAATAATGATCCTAAAAACTATAACAGAAGAAAAGGAAAACACCTGGACCTTCAGGGCTTGGGTTAAGTGTAGTATGGTCATTTTTATTTAACCTTTATTAATTACTTAATTACTTTGTGAAACAGGATGATGGTTAAATATTAAAAACGTATTTAACCCGTGATTATAATAACTGACAAGTTTGTAAAAATTTAAATGTTCAGGTTAAATACAGATAATTTAGTGTATTACATAATATGTGTTGTTAACCTCATTCTTCTTTTTCACATGATTTTGTGAAAATAGAAATAAGGAGTACATTTTTCCATGCTCATAATAAAAAGACCATTGTATGGACCCGTTTATAAAATTTTTAAATTTTATTAAAGCTTAAAAGTTTTTCAGAATTGCATTAAAAATTAAAATATTTCTTTTCTTTGAAATCTTTATTATCTTTAACTAATTTGCAATGTTTAACTTTTCAATCGTTTACAGATTTGCTCTCATGGGTTTTCACATGTTAGTCTAAGATTTGTATGCATTAACTTGGTTTTACCTGTTGTACTGGCTCTGGGGCTGGCTTTGGCCCTTCCTTTTCTGATATCCACATCTTTAGTTATTCTATTTGGTGAGTATAGTTTTTGCCTATGTTTTTGGAGTGAGCTTAGTTTAACAAGTTTTAGTGTCTTTAATTGCATGTTCATTTGAAGTAATTATGATTCTCTATGTAAAAGTGATATACCCAATATACACAAAATATTTTCTTCCTAAGATAACATTATCTATTTTTATGAATATTACCACCTTAAAAAAAAAGTAGAAGTTGTTTTCTTACAGTTTTTAAAGATTAATTAATAAAGTCTGAATATGTCTAATCTCTCATTAAAATGGTTTTCTATTCCTGCTGAAATTAGTTCCAAAGCAAGTGACAACAATATTTCAGTTTGCACATTAAGCTAAGTGCCACAGCTATTAATTGACTGAAAGTGACAGGGAAGTACACGTTACTATGGTGATTACTCCTTAATTGTGCACTTCCAGCTGCCTCAAATGCTATGGCTCATGTGGTGGCTCAGCATTTTTATAATGCTAAAAATTGGGTTTCAATACCCATTGTGGGCATAGCACAGGTGGCTTATTGTGTAGCTTTGTGCTTAACATCAAATAAACACAAAATTCTATAGCAAGTTAAAATATATGCCAGTTAAAGGAAGAAATAATTGTGTGAAAAATAGCTCAAATATTTTATTCTATTAAATTTCAGTAAATGTTTTGATTAGTGGGGCTAGCGTGGCCTAGTGGTTTTGACTAGTCATTGACAGTTGTGTATTCGAAGTTCATCCTTGTTTTTGTGTCTTTGAGAAAGACACTTTATACAAAATTTGCTTCAGTTCACCCACCTGTAAAATGGGTATGAGCTAATAGCTGGGTACTATGAATTATCATTCTCAGAAACTTGTGTCACAGGAAACCAGATTTAAGCACTAGCACTGTGTACCTTTAAGACATGGAATAGATTTAATAAACTTAACTTCACATCGGTAATAATAGTAATATACTTTATTAAGTTTTAATTAAATTTAGATTGATTAGTGGAACGAAATCTATTCAAGATGGTAAAACAAAGAATTAATAGAATAAATTTTCAGTATTTTAGATGTTTGATTTTTGCTTTGATAATTTTGTTTCTCAACATTTGCATTATACATCAGATAATGTTATGTCTTTACAAGGTCAGTCAAGTCCAAGTGATTAGTGTGCTGGACTGTCAATCAGCAGTTTACTCCCTGTTAGTGCAAAAAAACAACAACTCGGGCTGCATATTTTGGAGTCGTGGATGTGTTATAGTACCAATCAAATCCCATTATCAGTATCCCAGATGTTGCGATGCATAAAAATTCAACAAATATGTCTTTATATAACTGACTTGCAAACCAAACTAGCTCAATTTGAAGAAACAGCCTTGTTTGCAGTGGTTTGAATGCTATTTATGCATACTTTAAATCAAAGCCCTGTGTTAAGACAGTTACACACAGGAATGAAATATTAAAACTCGGTAAAGTTATTGTAAAATTGCAGTGTTTTTTAGTTACAACAGACTGTCAAAATAGGGTTGAAGATAATAAAAACGAAAATTTTGTTTGTTTAGAACTTAGTTATGAAACAAGAAATAGAATACTTCGAAAATTCTACCCAGTTGTGCTCGGAACAGTTACAGTTTCTCTTGTTCTGAACTACCTACTGAGAAGACTGAGTAGGATGTATAAGAAGTACTGTGATGAGAAGTAAGATTTAGTAGCTTTTCATTTACATGTTTAATCCTGTGATCTATTGTATAGAATTGAAGTATATTTTTGAATTTCTCAATACACACATAGGTATAAATACTTTGAATATTGTAATTGAGAAAAGTCTATTTCACTGGATGAAATTGATATTGCCTTTAAAAATATTTTGCATGTAAATTGAAAAATAAGACAATCACAGAGTAGGAGCTCCAAAAGAAATGTAGGACTTAATACACAATTTGTACCGATAATATTTTTTTGGTGATTTTGATAATTTTTCATAAATATTTAAATATTTTAACAAATACATTTACAGCACCTTTTAAGCAAACTTCTTTCAAGGTATTTGTTTCATTGCAAATAGAGTTCTACTAAAAGAAGCAATGCCTATAATAACCAACAATTGAGGGCAAATATAAATAACAGTAGACATACTTTGTAATATGTTCTTTGTCAAACAATATTTTTTTATTTATGTAATATGTAAGAATTCAGATTTGAAGAATAAGAAAATTAGTTTTATTGGAGAAAAATGTTATAATATGATAGAATTAGCATAATCATCATGAAATAAAATTTACTTTTGAACAGTGCATATACATTGGTCAGTAAATTTTTTATGTAGACTATTATTGTTTTATGTAATTTTGTTTTTGGTACTACCTAGTTATTTCAATTTAAGTAACATACTACAGTATGTAACACAATGGGTAAAAATATTTTGAAGTTGGATAATACATTACACTTACTTAAATATGATTTATTACCTTGGCCAAGGCTATTGTGTTGCACACAAAAGTAAATTTTCACCTTAATTTTTAACAACAAATTAAAGTTATTTTATAACAAGTTCAACATTTCAGTTAGTCAGACAAATTTTTATATCATTATTAATAGTTTTGTTCCTGTACCCCTCTCATTCATATAGAAATAAGCTTAAAGGAACATCACAAATGTATCAACAAATAACAAGTCTAGTATAAGTTTGGAGAATGTGATGTAGTCGTACACAGTAAGCTTTATATATAATATAACCTATAGGTGTGAGTATATATAAACAGTTAATGGTCATACTTCACAGTATGTTTAAAGTTCTTGCTAGATGTTTTATAAGCTAATTACTTATAAAATTGATGTTATTAATAAACTTGAACCAGAGGTGCATGAGATAAATTTGACACAAAAACCATTAACAAAGTCATAAAAATTGAGAATTAAAACTATGTCGATGAGGAAAATATTAAACAATAAATATGCTTCTGTAATAATTACTTTTTAGAGTTTCAAAGTTAATATGTTTTAAGGTAAAAATGCAATTACTACATAATTAAGACTGGCTGCTGTTTGTAGATTTAATTGTGGTTATTTGTTCTATAACATCATACATGATATTTGAAGTTTTTCAATATGCAGTTTCTAGACTTTGGTGACTTATAATATATATCTGGGTTTCAAAAAAATATAAAATTTTTTTGTTGTTTTGGTAAGTGTGACTGATTCTACTCCCAAATTAGGGTTCTTTTAGAAGCGGAAATAATTATATAAGTAACTGACACACCGCTTAAAAAATTATTTTCAAGTTTGTGTTTCATGTTACAGTGAATGTAATGAAAGATTTGTGCAGAGTGTTTGCACTCTTTAGATGCAGGTCTCCACCGTTAAGGTGTTGTGGCTATTAAAAGAGTTACTTTAATTAGGGTACTTACATGCAACACCACCAATGAGCCTTATTTCTGACTTCAGATCCATTATCACACTGTATAACTATTTCTTCAATCACTCACAAATTTCTCAGATTTTTGGTTAATCAAGAGTTTGACAGCAGGATCTCCTTTTCATCCTCATCCTGTAGACCTTCATTTTTCAAAAATGCTTCTGAGTTGGAACCAGTGCCATTGTGGTTCACAGAATCTTCAGGAAGCAATAGCTCACTTCAACATGTTAGAACTTTTGACTCTTTAATGTGCTTGTCTCAAGCTTCTGCTCCTTTTACACCACCACCATTCTGTGTTAGTTTACACAGACATTTCTGCAGTGGTAGCTTACATCAACAATCAAGGTGTTACTTGTTCTTCTAGCCTTTGCTTTACTGCAATTTTTATACTTCTTTGGCTTCATTCTCAACTCATTTTCAGTGTTATCACATTCCCAGTATGATAAATATTTTGGCAAAATCTCTATAAGTTATGCAAATATCTGGGAGGTCTGATGACCAATGTCGTCTCGAAGTCAGACAACCATCTTTTTTCACTTTAATGATTTTTGGTTCCAGATCCAAATTCTTTGGCAGTGGATGCCCTAAGCCAATTTTATGAAACCCATTCCCATATGTTTACCTTATTTTCCACCTTCTTCTTCTTTCTGTTTTCTAAATTCAGTTAATTGAAGAGCTGGGTTTTCCTTATCAGTCCATTTGGGCCAGCTCAACCATGGTCTCCCCTGTTATATTTACTTTATTCATGGGGAATCAGTCCCACTCCCACCATGAAATCATCTATTGCAACCTCAAACATCTGTTTCTTACAACAATTTTCAACATCTACTGTTTCATGGCTGACTATCATTTGTTCCTTTGTCTGAAAAGCCAGATTCTCTGATAGGATAGGTTGTATGCTAGCCATTTTTTCCAGTGCTTTTCTCTAGCTGTCTATCATTCTTGTTGGACTAACTTCAGAATGTGTTGCATTATACATAATATATCTTATCACCAATCCATCAATAAATTACTTTTTTCCTTATTTATTTTTATTATCATGGCTTATTAGTTTTATCCACAGCTGATTACAGAGCTGCCTTATCTGCCACTTCTGATGTTGCAGAAGCCATTTGTTCCCATTTTCAACAGACATTTTTCAATCCTTTCATCTTCAATGGGTCTCATTTTGTAGATATTATCCTAAATAGGACATTCATTTAGTCTTAAGTTTATTTGCTTTTCCCTCTTTTGAACTTTATTGTCTTTTATTCTCTGTCACATTTACCTTAACTTTTTTTCATTGCTTGCATCTGATAGTTATGTCCTCATTGCTTCATGAATTTTGTTTCCTCAGAAGGCCTTATATCGAGCCTTCCTACCTAAACGCCCCCCAGTGGCACAAAGCACAAATGACCCTTGTGTAGCCTTGTGCATAATTAAAAACAATCCTACCTAAACCTTGGGCTGCAAGAGAAGGTGACCACTGTTGCTTATCTGTTGTGCTACTTGTCTTGAGTGATCCTGATTCTTGTTTGAAAGCGATTTTTATGTTCTGTCAAGGCTTTTTTTTATTATCTCCCACATAATGCATCTTTTAGGGGGTTTCAGAAGAGGTTGTTTAAACTTTATGACAAATAATGATCCTAGGATCTTGTTCTTGCTGTATAAACAAATTGGCTTATGCAATTGATCCATCTTGTTTACTGTGATGTTCATGAATGTTTTAGAAGAACATTTTAGGTTACATCTCACCAAATTCATCATTTTTTCATGTCTTTAGTGTCCTGTTTGTTGTACACTTTAGAGGATATCATGTAGACTTATGTGTGGTAAGTCCACCTGACTTAGAGTTAATGTTTATGTAATTAAAGTGAATTTCAAACAGGTACTTACCTCTGAAATACATTCCCATTCACCTCCCCACAACTGGGAGGTAAGTGGTTTTCCACCGCAATTGCAAGTAAGAAATCTGAATTATGGCAGAAAACAAAACTTGTGCATGTTTTAATGATGCAAATGCAATACGTCAAATGGAAGGTGAAAGAGTAGAAAACTCTGCGTAAGTTCATACCTCCTCTGCATTGTGTTAAGGACATTCAGAACCTAAAATCACAAGAGAAGCTTTTGTTATCATAAAAATGTTGGTAATTGTAGCTCTCATAAAGTGGTATGAGGAAAATATATTCACTAAAACACTGTTTGTGTATCAGTTATTATATTGAATGAACTTTTATGTATTCATTGTTTAAAGAAAGGTTACGAAACTTTTAAGATATTGAAGATGAAATGTTACTTTTTTCTTCTTCTTCCAGGTACATAATTGGTCATTATTTAGTCAACTGTGTACAAGATGATGGTGATCCCCTACATCAGTAGAAAAGTGAGAAAACACAAGTTTAATATCTATTTGTTTCTATATATATTAAATAAAAAATCATACTTTTTGTTCCATTTTGTTATATTCAATTTAATTTTAGACTGGTTAGTTTTCACAAGTACTGAGAGGAAGTCTGTTATAGTATAAATCAAAAATTTTATTCAGTGTTATGTCAGTAATGACACTATATACAATGACAGATGCATAACTTGTGCCAATTATTGGTTATTTATGCAATTAATATTAACCCTTTCACTGTGGCTGGGACACATATTTCCCAGGTTGGAACAAAATATTTAGCTCAAAGGTTATATATTATTGGTAATCATTCAGGAAGTAATTAGCAGTCTTTAACCAAAATAAATATTTTACTTGATAAAAAATAATCACCAATATCAATATTCAAATAAAATAAACCTTGTGTGACAAAAAAGGACAGTATCAATCATGTTACTGAAAATAAAACTTATTTTTTGATATTTTTAATAGATTCACAAAAATTAAGTCTTATTGAGAGTTTATTTGTTCTGGAAACTAGTATACTAAACCTGAAGTTATGGGTTTTGTGTAATAATTCATACACCAGTAGGGCTACTCCAGTATCACTAAAAAAAACTTCGGTTCCATTTAACCAAAGCTATTGTTGAATCAGACTGTTAATAAAGTTAACTTATATAATCATTAAATGGATGTTTCATTATTTCTGTTATCTGCTCCTCATCTGTTTGTGTAATACATGACTGATACTTTAACCCAACTTAATATTTAATGCTAGAAATTTACATGAAGTATAATTCAGCAGTTCTTTTTCCTGAGATTAATCAATGTACAATGATTCATTATCCTCATGGTTATCACATTATATTAAGTTACAGATTGGTATCTGCAGAAATAATCCCAGAAGAAACTTGTAGCATTGTCTTTGTAGATATTGGTCAGATAAGACAACACATACTAGAGTTTAATCCCTTTCAGTCCATCTGTATCTTATATTTTGATTGGTAGGCCTGGTTTAATGAGCAGTTCATTTAAAAATAAATTCCCACCCAATGTGCACAACATTGCACTAAGGATTAAACCTAAGGTTCATTTCTTTCCCAGCTTTTCTGAATTTGTTGCTATTTTGGGAATCCTCTTCTTGACCTTCTGGAAACATGGACTTTGGTGATGGATCTGCTGTCTTGCCATGCTCAAATCCTTTGGACAGTATGGTCTTTATATCTTATAGTGCTTCTATAGATTTATTACGACTTCAGGAGTCCTCTTATCGATGCATTTGTAACTCTCCTCTTTCAAAGTTTTCCCCCTTTTTTTTTTGGTTAACAGTCCCACATTCCATGGTTCTGGTGGCATTTCCTGCAAGTCTAGGTTGGTCTTCATACTTTCTGTATGCCTATCCTACTCCTCGACTTCTTTCCAGAGTGTCATCTTTAATCTACAGCCCCTCTTTGGCCAGCTCATTCATGATATCTGCTCCTTCACCTCTTGGCAATCCTGAGGCCTGTACTCTTCCATCTTGGTGGTCCATTTTTTTGTTTTTTTATGGCAGCCTTGAGCATGCATATTTCATTATTATGTTCAAGGGTGATTTATCTGATTTTTCAAATGTCAGTTACAGTGCAGCTTTGTTAGTGACCTTCCATTCTTCCCTAGCTGTTCCCCTTTTCTTTTTCTGGTTTTTATGGACCTATTCCTAATAATTAAAAGTCGTTTCTCGTCAAGTTCAGATATTTTAGTTATGCGGAAGAATGTATAGTCTCTACCATTATATGTGTTAGATATACACGACTGTTTCATTTAAATATAATACGAGAGTTATGATTTAGGTAGTTATAAAGTGCGAGTGTTAAATATAGTATTTTTAGAAGCAATATTTAAGGCAGGTTTGTATATGTAGCTCAATTGTTGTGAACTGACGTCACGTTACTCGAATCTTCCGAACTTTTCTCGTTGCTTGAAATGAGTATTGTTACATCATAACGTCTCATAGTTTGTAGAAATTTCTAGGCCTCAGTCGGACAATATATACATATATAGGCGACCAAGTTAGTGAAAAAAATGAAGTTAGACTGGATGATTGTGAGTTTAGCCATAAAGAGCATATAGTGGCAACTTCTAAAGTGAGTTTCAAAGCTTGTAATGATAGAGGTAGAGGAGAATAATTTGTCTTTTTAAAGGTGTTCTAAGTTAATGGACTTTGACGCAAAATAATTATTTAAAGCTCTGGATACAACTGTGATAACTAATGGTGTAACGAATTTTTTGTTTGTAGGTTCGACTATATTATTTAAAAACAAGTGGATTATGTGCTGTCCGTTTATTGTTGAAATTTATCGCCAACGGGTCACGGACACCTACTTTAAAGAATCCGCCCCCATAAAAACCTGAGAAAGTGGTTATCTACTCCAGTAAGAGAACACGTTCCCGGGAAGCTTGAAATTTAAGGCTGTATTGCACATCATGCTTCAACTAAGAGTAACACTACTGTTACTGGTGATAATTTTGTGATAGTCCATCGAGCTGAGAATGAAGTACAGTTTCAAATCCGAGATTAAATCGACCACACTTTCGTTCCGTAACCTTGCAGCTATTGAATTGTGTTTATCAGTTGATGACTTTGCTATTAACTTCACCTCACAAATAATGAATGACCCCCTGTTTATCAGTTGACATTCCAGCTAGTAGGTATCGCAGTTAGTCACTCCATTGTTTATCAACTTGACTTCGCACCTAATAACAACATCGTGCGTTCACCTTAATCACGAACCTAACGACTTTAGCAGTGTGAAACCTAAAGCTCGTGTTTAAAAGTGTTGTATTTATAGACAGTGACATCACTCACATATTGGTGTATTATCATTCAAACGTTAAGCTAACTTCTCTGTATTGCTATGTTCAATGGAGATTTGGGCGGGAAATACAAGTCCACTGACCATGGAATTTATATAGTTTCAAAAGAAATATTAATTATGCCTGAAGTGTGTGTAATCGACCGTCGATGCATTTTTCAATAAAACAACAATAATGGAAAGTTTTTTGGAATCACAAATTTTATTGTTCGTATCAGGGGTAGTAAAAGTACAATACACACACACACATATAACAACACTTGAAAGATTGTTACCGTAAATAAATAATACAAATACACATACATTATGGTTTCTTACTGTATGTAATCGCATATATTAACACGAACAACAAACTGACACTTAAAATCCCGATTTTTTGCAATGAAAAGCTTTTAAGCACTTAAAATTAACGTTTGATGAGATAATTTTAATCACAGATATTCAGCTTATGATATATTTTATAAGATAAATCTTTAGATACTGCAAAACACAGATTAAGATTACCGAGGTAATTTAAATCAGATACGTGAAGAAGGGAACTTAACTTGTTAGGTTTAATGAATTATAAAACATAACCACTTTAGTCAACGTGACTTAATGATTAAGGTTAATGACGTAATAAATGTAAATACATAAGTCGGAGAAACGAACGAAAAAAGAGTACAGCCCAGTGTTTTATAAGAGAATTGTGTCAAAAGGTGCAAACGATTAACGAAGAATGAAGATATTAATGAAAGAAAAATAATACACGAAGTACAGAATGTAAGTAAAATCAAAAACGAATTCACATAGTACAGAAAGTAATGATAGAAAAACACTTACAAGTTACTGAACTGTTTAAGTTAAACACGTTTTGTGAATAATTTGAAACATTCAATAGAAATAATTATCATTATTTTTATTGTTAACGAAAATTGGTGGTATGTTTTTTGCAAACTCCATGTCGAATATATATAGTAATGTAAGTCGTGAAAATAACGTATAATTCTAGCTATCTAACATTAAAATTAGAAAAACCATATCGGCAAAATAAATTAATTAATTCCAAACTTTCAACATTAACAACTTCTTTGAAATATAATCTTTTCAGGACTATTTAAAGCACTGTGTGGCGATGTACTTAACGTTTATCCAGTATTTTCTAGTATTGCGTAGCAACGTATTCAATGTATATCTGATATTCTAGAGCAGTCTTTCTCAAACTTTGTTAATCCAAGGACCTTTTTTAACTAACAATTGCCTCCCCCCCAAAAAAAAACCTATCAATATTTTTTTGTTTTAGAAAAAAAAAAAAAAGAATTCCCTGTACAAGAAAAACGGTGTTCCAAAATTAAACGTTTTAATTCATATCGATTTAATTTTACGAAAAATATTTACTATTCTATAAATCATATTTAAAAAGATATTTTTATGAAATTTCAAACATAACTTGTGGTCCCCAGTTTGAGAAACGCTGTTCTAGAGCATTGCGTAGCAACGTACTTAATGTTTATCTAGAGCACTGCGTAGAGAGGTACTTACTCTAACTCTGCCTTCGTTTAGCTTTACTTCCTAAGCTGATACTTAAGTTAAATTTTAAAATAACAAAAACTGATACATAAAAATATATATATATTTATGTTAAAACGAGATGAAGCAGAGAGAAAAGAGTGACATTGTGCGCTTTGCGGGAGATTCTGTATGTTGCTTCTAAACGAGTAGTAGAATGTATATCCGCATGCGTAGAAGCATTTAAACGGCACGTAAGTGCACTATATGCACGTACTTAAGCGATTAATTAAAGTTAATATATAATCAATACTGTACACCAAGTTTAGAAATCCGATTTCTTAGAGATTTTTAAGTGCAGTTAAATTGATGTAACCAAGTCACGACACATATATAGCTGTTCGTATCACAGTAGCAAACTATGAGGTCATCATATTCAGACGCCTTCATTTCATAGTATCAATGTAAAGTTAGAACATTATAGATACCATTAAAACAAACCGTTGAAGCTGTAACATGAATTATATTTCACTATATTTAATTTAAATAGATTCAAGGCTACTTGTCATAGGCATACAAAAGTTTCGACGAAATATATAAATATATATTATATAATCATTACATAATTATGTATACGATGTGTCGTACCGCTTGCGATTTTCCGTTTTCGAGGAAAAATAAGAAAAAAATCACTTAAGCGTATTACTGTGAGCGACTCGTGCATCATAAATTTGCTCTTAAGGAAATAATTTAAGATGGCAAACTTTTAGTAATGTTTTAAGATTAACAGTTATGACAGTATATTTAATTAAAACAAAAAATAAACACTTAAAAATATTTTGTATAAAAATTAGGCCTAAAGGCCATAGAATAAACTGCAGCTCATGTTATTCGAACGGCAGATACTTGTCGCTTGTTCATTTCGCGAAATGTTTTAGATAAGTTTGATTAAACTTTATGAACAATTATTAACTAAATAAATTATATAATAAATACATTTGAGAAATTTGCTATTACATAACAATCTATTTGGCTGTTTAGTTTTACAATAGACACGTTAATTCTGGGATAATCGATATCTGAGTAAATATGCAGTTTTATCTTGTTTCATTTGTATCATTAGGCTTACCAAATTAATTTTTTTTATGTGTACGAACCATGCACAAGATATATGATGCATCAAGCTTTGAGCAAGCTAAAAATTCATGGAACATTACATACCTACCATGTCATATCCAAGTTGGGAGTTTAATTTTGAAGAAGCATACACGAAGTAGTTTATTACTCATTACACTTCAGTTAGTTCCATTCCAGTAATGAAACACTGTTTTGGAAATATTTATCTTATCTGTAACTTTTATGGATCTTCTCCATCCTTTACTCAGGCACTGAAAGGAGAAGATACAGCAGTAGTCCACGTCAGATTCAAGAATGTTGTCAACAGCCTCGTTGAGATTTATGAACCCATTTTGATCATTCTGGAGGACCAGCAACAAGGTAATATCAACCCCGAAACTACAGCGAATCTACTCGTTGCAAAAAAAGGTTGTTTGGCCTCACTCTGCCCTTGTGAAAAGTCCTGCAAAAGCATAAGTTGTGATTTAGTACAGGCCTGCGATACGGTCATATTGATTTGTTTTGAGCAAAGTTGATAATCTTAGGCAAAGCGCCGAAATACTTTTCCGGGTTCTCTTTACCAAAAGTAGTTTAGCAGAGATTTGGATTCCGGAGAGCCAGTTTCGTTACGAAGATCTGAACGAAGACGAAATGATGACCAGTTACATTTCGCACTAGGAGAGTACTTCCAAACTTCGTTTATACTCCTTTTCTTGATTACTTCATTGTGGAGTTGGAGGCTCTGTTGTGATAAAGTAGTTGATAAAGTAGTAGGAGAGTACTTCCAAACTTCGTTTATACTCCTTTTCTTGATTACTTCATTGTGGAGTTGGAGGCTCTGTTGTGATAAAGTAGTTGAACTTCTTGTTATTACGAAATCATTTCGCATGGATTTTGTGCCGTGGTTTATTTTCTTGGTAAAATTTTTGAATATATAGGCATAAGATTATCAATTAATGTTTTTGTTTGTTGTTGAGTAGAAAGCTACACAATTGGCTATCTGTGTTCAGACTTATCGCTAAACCACTGGAGGGGGGCTTCTTTTACTTAAATGGTTTACTCCGAAATATCGATACGAAACTCTTTCCTCCCGAAAATATCCAGGCTAGTCCTTGACCTTGACAACATTATAAAAAGGGATGGGACTGAAACACAAGGGGTTTTTTACACTGGGAACAGACTACCACTTAATTGAACAATAGCTTCCTTTCATTTTTATCATAATTCTTCTTTTCTTCGTAAAATTACGAGCTAATGTTTTATACAGCTTTGGTAAAAATTGTTAATTATTTTCGTTTATATACATTAGTTTACTTTTTTGTTACTTAAATATAGCATTAATTACTTTCCGTGACTTATACACAGATCACTTGAACTGTATGTAGGATTTTAGTTGTTAAGAGACCATTTAAATTGCCCATTTAAACATATGTGTGTGTTTGAAATGTACACAAAGTAAACGCCATATTTCTTATGGCCTTCTGTTTTCAGAGGATAAAGTATGACACTTAAATAACGATAACTGTGAGCTTTGGATTTTAACATAATATGAAAGTTATCGGTAATAACAAGCAGTAAACCATCCGCTAATACTTTCTAAGGTATCCGTTCATTGAATTAAAGAAACGCCGCTCTAACTTATGTTTCATGATTATTCATGCTTGTAGCTATTTTGCAGCAACAATATTCATGGACAGCAATGAGTAGCAAAACTGCTAAAAAGTATTTAATTCAATATAGAATTCATAGGTTATAAGACAACAACAAAATAGCTGAAATTATGTGACTTGAAAATTCTTGGAATATAGATTAGCTTCTCCTACAGTAAAAACACGTCAAATAAAAATATCTACCCATTCAAATTTCGAGGACATTTTAGTAGCAAGAGACTACGATATTGACTAAATGAAGTAAATAGTATAGTATATTAAATACTAGCATCATCTGCTGTACAATTCTACCAGTGTTTTCAGTAATAAGAGCATCGTCTGCTGTACAAAAACTACCAGTGTATTAAATAATACTAGCATCGTCTGCTATACAAAATCCACCAGTGTATTAAGTAATACCAGCATCATTTACGTACAAAATCCACCAGTGAACAACTTATAGTGTTAGTTAAGCTAGGGTGGTTTTTATCAACTCCTTGTAAGCACGCATATCGCACAAGCGTGTTAAGACTAACATTCTCTGTGCTCAAGGCACCTTTCAAGTTTTATCAGTAGACTCTAGTCAACGTGATTCTTTCATAGGTAACTTGCAGTAGCGCAACTATAATTGTAGTTACGACTCGGGTCCCCTTTTGGCTCGCCCCACCCCCGGAATTGTAGGGAGCTGCGGGGACATGCTGTTAACTTGGTTTACCTTTGCGATAGTATATTTTCAATCTTACTTTGGTTGTGTCTCCAACGATGTCTCTATTCTAATTTGTTACTTTTATTACCGATTGAGTAATTTTTTTCACCAGGAAAATTTATAATTTTCATTATTGATTTAAATCCACTCAAGTCTTCATCAAGTAATTTCTCACTGTACAACTTGAACCTGGCTTTACCCGTGTCTTCACCTAGGTTTCTTGTATCTGGATTTGGTCGTATTTTCTGCAACGTTACCTGATGTAATTGTAAGCTGTAACATATAACTTGAGCTATATTTCTGCTTATATTGTATAGTTTGATCTGGATTTGGTTATGGTATCATCTGCTTGTGATGGTACAGCTTGACTCTTAACTTTTGTCTTCATCGAGTTTTTTTTATTATGATTATACGACTTGAATGTAACGTACATTATATCTGAAGTCATTATAGCTGTATAATCATAACACAAAATTGACTTCAGATATAATGTACATTAGATTATAGCTGTACAATCATAACACAAAACTGACTTCAGATATAATGTACGATAGATTATAGCTGTATAATCATAACACAAAACTGACTTCATATATAATGTACATTATATTATAGCTGTATAATCATAACACAAAATTGACTTCAGATATAATGTACATTAGATTATAGCTGTACAATCATAACACAAATCTGGCTTCATATATAATGTACGATAGATTATAGCTGTATAATCATAACACAAAACTGACTTCAGATATAATGTACATTAGATTATAGCTGTACAATCATAACACAAAACTGACTTCAGATATAATGTACATTAGATTATAGCTGTACAATCATAACACAAATCTGGCTTCATATATAATGTACGTTAGATTATAGCTGTACAATCATAACACAAAACTTAGCTGTATAATCATAACACAAAACTGGCTTCAGATATAATGTACATTAGGGAATAAAATCTGGCTTCAGGCATAACGCACGTTAGATTAAAGCTGTATAATCAGAATAAAAATTGACTTCAGATATAACGTACATTAGATTATAGCTGTATAATCAGAATAAAAATTGACTTCAGATATAACGTACATTAGATTATAGCTGTATATTCATAACACAAAACTGGCTTCAGATATAATGTACATTAGATTAGATTATGCAGCTTGAATATGATGTATAATACTTCCGAAACCAGTTTTTATTCTGATGTTATAGCTTGAATGTAGATTAATTTATTTGATATTTAGGGAGCATAGTTAAAAAAGAAAACAGGCAGTTACACTTAAAAATTATTTACCTTTGGGTTTCTCGCTACGCCTTTTTCAAGACATGTATCGATGACAAACGTTAATTAATCTTTTGTAACTGGTAAAAGATTAACCTGTTAAAAAAAGACGTAGAGTGAAACGTCGAGGTAAACATAAGTTTTAACTGGTAACTGGTTATAAATTTTCTCTGTTACGTTATGCCCTCACTGAGGGTTTTAATTTTGCTTTTTGAATGTGGCTTAATTATTTATTCAGTAATGTTTTTATATTACAACTGACTTAAGACATTAAGTTAACCAAATATCTCGTTATAGCTGTACAACTGTAATTCGGTTTTGATTATGTCGTATTACAAAAGACCCACTTGAAACCGATTTTGGTTACGTCTTCAGCTATATATGTCTTATTATGACTGTACAGTTGAAATTCGGTTTCGGTTATGTATTCAGGCACATTTTGTACTCGTATATAAAAACCTTAACGAAAAGTAATTAACACTCAAATAAATTATGCTTAAATTAAATAATGACTAATTTATAGTATGCGTTGATATTTTAGTATGTACGCTACCAAGTGTTGATCCGACACATAATTCCGCTTTCCTGATATATTCTGATGGTTTTTCTTATTCTAATTAGCCCAAGATCTCACCATTCTTTAAACTCTAGTTCGGGCTCAAAACAAAGCTCTTGACACTAAATGCTACTTCGAATGCTCATGTCTTCGAAAAAAAAAGAAAAAAAGACAGACGTAGATGCAAGTTTACGAGTGAAAGCAATCGAGACCATCTTCACGGGAATCTGTTGAATAATTCACACCAGGGATTGGACTTATCTGCGACGACTCCAACTCCGGATCTGTGGATGTGAGAACACTTCTTACGGTCTTGGTAGGGACAGCGATAAAACGAGCCGGTTGCTTAAGTAACACTGTAGTCTCACAGCTGGAATCATCACTGTGGAAGGGTATGGGATATAGGAAGGAAGACTGTTACTACGGAAAATTCTACAGAGGAGTGGATTTGACGAAAAAAACAAAGGAAACAACGTTTATTTTTACAATTATTTTGATGAAATGAACTCTACGCTGTGAAAGAAAAATCGAGAAATTAACTGCTTAAGAAAAAGAAATTATATTCTAAATAACAATTATTCACTATGTAAAGTTTCTGTATAAAATCAAACAATTATACATAAAATTCTTTTAAATATATCTCGTACTTCTAATTAGTATATTTCTAATTGAAAAACTTTTAAACACAAATGTTGATGGGTAGACAGGCAAACAGTTGCTAGAATATATTAATGTTAATATAACTTGAAAACGTAGTTTTACCTGCCGTCATTCTCAATAAGCGCCTCCTGGCGACGCAAGATAGGACGAATGCAATGGTTAATGTCAACAGGAACTCGTAACATCGGTTGAGTTACGTTGGTCGAGAGGTGATCGTCATCGTTGTCACTAGGTGCAGAGCTCTCGATCGAGTCTAGAGACGTAAGCCCGATTTTTCTCATGTTGTAGTCGGAGTGTGATCTGGAGGAAAAACGTTCGTTTTTTTTTAAATCTTGTTAGTTTCTGCCTTTACATGTTTAATTGTAGAGTAGACCCTCATTTTAAGAAAAGGTCACGGTGAACATACACAGACTAAATTAAGCTGTTTTTAATTAGGATAATGCTTTCCTCTTTAACGACACTCTGAATAGAATTTACTCTTTTTGTAAGGCAGAATACAACGAACGAACATCAGAGAGAGAGCCATTAAGCTATGGTATAATACGGTTTTAGTCATTAGGGACCAACTAATTCATATTTTTTAATGTAATTGTTATAAAAAAAATGTTGACCATTATCCTCTCAGTATATTCATCATTTTTCATTCTTTGAAAAATCTGGATAGATACTTAATCAGGAACCTCCCCCGGCATGGCCAGGTGGTTAGGGCGCTCGACTCGCAATCTGCGGGTCGCGGGTTCGAATCCCCGTCACACCAACCATGCTCACACTTTCAGCCGTGGGGGCGTTATAATGTGACGGAATAGTGATTCGTTGGTAAAAGAGTAGCCCAAGAGTTGGCGGTGGGTGTTGATGACTAGCTGCCTTCCCTCTAGTCTTACACTGCTAAATTAGGGACGGCTAACATAGATAGCCCTCGTGTAGCTTTGCGCGAAATTTAAAAAAAACATCCAGGTGGTTAAGGTACTCGACTCGCAATCTGAGGGTCACGGGTTCGAATCCCTCTCACACCAAACATGCTCGCCCTTTCAGCCGTGGGGGCGTTATAATGTGACGGCCAATCCCACTATTCGTTGGTAAGTAGTAGCCGAAGAGTTGGCGGTGGGTGGTGATGACTAGCTGCCTTCCCTCTAGTCTTACACTGCTAAATTAGGGACGGCTAGCGCAGATAGCCCTCGTGTAGCTTTGCGCGAAATTTAAAAACAAACAAACAAAAGCTTAATGCAAAACCTAAAATGGTTTGACTTATAAACTATTAAGATTTGAAAATGTCTTTCGATATTCTCTCGCTAAGATCTCTATTGTATGAAAAACGTATGTAATATATTGATATGTTTCAAATTATCATCTTAATTATTATGTTATTTTAGTGCATTCATTATCAAGTGAACAACTCGTTTTTACATAATTCACTACCACCTATTACGTCATAGTAATTTTATGTTTGTCTCTCTTATAACACTCAATGAACAAAACCTATAAAATATTGGGTAAAATTACTCATTTTCTATACAAAATACAGACGGAACCCCTGTACTAATAAGTGCCATTAATTGTAATGATGGTGGTAGTTTTGTTTACATTTTGTTGTATTATTAAGGGCCATGTAGTTATCGAAGTCATGGGTCTACAAGCAACTTAATGCATTCATAGCTTATAAAAATGTGTTTAAAGATCAGGAGGATATAGACCCCCATCCGTAGTTCTAGGGTTAACATTTTCCAAACTTATTAAATGTTATGTTTATTCGGTAATTTTCAAAATCATGTTTATTTTGAGGTAAGGCATATTAACTGGTTTAGACACTTCTTTTTAAAAGGATTTGGAGATTTAAAAGCAAGGGAATATGTTACTATTACTGCTCAAAAAGAACAATGTAAGTTATGGAGGATATTTTAGCCTAGTTTCTAGGTGACAGAATATTTCTTTATAAACCCATTCTTTGGCATAGAAGTTGTCCCACATATGTAAATCTTTCTCACAAAGTTTGATGTACATATATGCACTAACATTGGGCCTTACCGCTGTCTATGAAGTGCCAAGCATTGCTTTCTTGCTCTTCTCTTGGTAGAAGAGGCTAGCCCAAGTAACTCTGATGACACAGATCGTTCGTCTATAAGTTCTTTAGGACTATCATGAAGCTTCTCACGGACTTGGTCTGTTGTTGGTAGCACTTTACTGGACAAACAAAGTTTCTGACCTAATTTTTCTTTATTTGTAGAATAACCTTTAGACAGGTTGTCTTCAGAAGTTGAAATATCGAACACTGCGGGAGAAGATAATGCAGTTCGATGATATTGCCCTGATGGTTTTTCTCTATATCCATGAGAAGTATCACTTATCGGACTTTTCGACCACGTACTTGTTGAATTAAACATTTTATGGCGCCTAAGAGTCGGACTAAACTGGGTATCATGCTTTTTATGTGGTCTTCGGGGTGACTTATGTCTTGGGCCAAGAGAGTCTAAGTCATCGTCTGAAGAAGATATTACCCTACTTCCTAAGCTAGGTTTTGAAGAATTCCGCATAATCTTACCTTCATGATATTCCAGTATCCTTTCATTATCAGTTTCGACACCAGTGGAACTACAAGTATTTGACAAAGCAGGGTCGATATATGTTTTTGATTTGTTGTTTTTTCTCAGTTTCGGACTACTACTCAAACATACATGTAACATTTCTCCTGAGTATGAAATTGAAGTCTCTGGAAGCTGCAGACTTTGACATGCTAGTTTCCGATACTGCTTACTTGGACTCATATCTCGTTTTGGTTTCTGATATTTTTCAGAAACCATTAAGCTTCTTTCAAATTCCTTTGCATGCGTTGCCTTATTGGTTTTAAAGTCTACAGCATCCGATACAATTCCTTCATCATCTACAGAGTCTTCAGTACTGGTGTGTTGATAAGAATAGCGCTTTCCTAGCTTTTTGTTCAAAAAGTGGCCTATGTCTTTTGTTGCAGGAAACCACGTCCCCCCAACTGAAGCTCGTCGTTGTGGGAAACATGTTGTCTCTAACTCAGGTGTGGTTTCAGCATATGAATATATTTGCTGCGGAGGATATAGGAACTTACTTTCACATTTACTTGATCTACATCTTGGAGAAAGAAGATGAGCAGCTTTCTGCGGTAAATACAGCTTTTTACCACCAACTTCTTGTTCCTCCGCCAGGGGACTGCTGGAATTACATCTGGACATCCCAAGGCTGGACAAAGAAGAATATCCGGATGTGCTGAGATTGGATTCGGAGGTGGTTCTGTCAGAAGATGGGCATATTGCTGTCAAGGGACTCAGGTAATTCATTAAAGAGTTTTTGGTGTTTGGAGTTCGGGGAGGGCTAGTTTCCTCAGAATCACACGAACTCATATTAGACGTTATTAAAATTTTTGGAGGAGGCAATTCAGCTGAATATTTTCTCGAGGTAGAGAATTCAGGATCTTTAGGTTTGGGAGATCCTTTATTACATTGTTTTGTAAGGATTAGGTGGTTAACTTCTGGAACATCACACAATTTTCGTTTAACGTCATCTGGTGGTGATGATGGACAATTTTGTTTGGAATTAGATACCTCTAAAGGATTCTTCGAACTAATTGTGGTATTATAAGAATAAGCTAAATTGTCAGATGCCTGATTTGTTTGATATGGTATTTCATCATTTGTTATTGTTTTTACTTCAAATAAATTCGTGTCATTTATTGGACTCTGCGTTTTAGATGGACACTCTGTTTGCAGCATAGCAGTAGTACAGGAAGTATCCCGGGTAGGTTTCTCTTCAATACTCTCAGAACCCGACTGGTCAAAAGTTTGAAGAGTCAAAGGAGAAATTTCAACTTTTGTTTCGTCCATCTTGATGTCATAGCCGAAGCTATCTAGTGACGAAGCTTGTTCGAAAGATTGCTCTCTAATGGAGTGGAATTCAGTAAATGATGGTGCGGAGTAACGCGAAAATCGAGGTGAAAGACTTTCCATAAAACTGGTCTCAGCTATGCTTTTGCTTTTAAGTGACATGTCGGACATATAGCCTTGGCTTTCTTCGTTTGCAGCGTTCAGTATGAACTTTTTTCTATTCATCTTAATAAACTCATCTAAACTCATCCTTCTATGTTTAGGTGATTGATTGGAATGCACTAAAGACGCTAAAATGCGTGACGTTTCTTCTTCGTTTTTATCAGAGTCACGAAGTCGACTGTTTTGTTGGTGTTTTCTTGACGAAAAACTTCGTTTCAGCAAGTCATCAAAACCGAAAGTTCGACCGTTTTCTTTGTGTGAAGGACTGTGGTTACAACTGCTTGTACTGTGGATGCTGTGTTTGCGAATCTTGTTAAGAAAATACTTCGGGCAAGGCTGTGGACTCAATGTAGCTGGAGTAATGCTTGCCTGGTTCGAGCTTAAACTGTACCGTGTCGCTGCCGGCGAAGGGCCTGAGAGTAAGTACAATGAAATCAAAATTACCTCTGAACGAAATACAGCATTAACCATAAATTAAAGCTCATTATTAAAGAAAAAGGAAATTTCGACTGTTATCTTATTGAATGTAATATCATAAAGTAAGTATTTGCAAAAGGTGTAAATGTAGCAGAATCAGTAAAAATATATGCTCTCATGCTCTTTTTCACGTCTGAGAGCTTATAATCAACATCATCCAACATCAACTTTACCAACGAAATATGGGATTAACTATCACATTATCACTGTTTGTGAGTCCAGCGCCCTTACCACCACGTCATGCCATGTTGACGTGTTAAAGGAAATGAAAGTTAGAATATCTAAACCGGTATCCTTAATTCAGAAAAACAAAACGAAAAAAAAACATTAACAATAAGTATTTTGAATTATAAGTTAAAAATTTTCTATAAAGGTTAAAAAATAACAAAAACAGAATAACAATTTGAATATCATACTTATTCAAAACACTTAAACAAAATATTTGGATGAGTAAGCATATAAATAATATTTATGGGTTCACTGAACCATCTGCAATAATTTTATAAAAAATACTTGGCAAAATATTAAAATAGTTCACTTGTTTCAAGATGTGACTTTAAGCATTATTGCTCATTACTGTGAGTATGGTTATATTTAGAATGATATTGTTGTATTTATTGTGCTAGAAGTTTTTGAAAAAAATGTTAGTACCAAAGTTACTTCAAAGTATGTTTCTGAACTTGACAATATCGAACAAAGCAACATGGACGATTATTGGAGTCACTTTTTAAAAGACAGGTGTCGATAATTATAGTATTATGGCACTTGTGTATAAAGTTAAAATCATAAATAATATTCAACGTTAAACTGGTACACAATTAACAACATTTTATTTAGGCCTATCTATGGCCATCAAAAAGTTGACGACTCTACATGTTTCGACGTTACAATGTCATCCTCAGGAATGAATTACAAGACAATTTAGATAGGCCTAAATAAAATATTTTAAATTCTGTACCAGTTTAACGTTGAATATTATTTATGATTTTAAGTGTCGATAAGTTTAAGATAGCACATACAAAACAGTAGTTTCAATAATTTTAGTGAATGTATCACATTTTAAAAAAGCTCAAAATTCACGAAAAAGTTATTTGTTCATAATCCTGTTACTTTTGTGTTCTTATCCACTGCAAGGAATCGAACCGCGAATTTTAGCATTTTAAATCTGTAAATTTACCACTGGAACTAATGCTGTTGCGTCATTACTCGATATTTAGGAAAATTATAACTTTTCTAAATGACGTAAAAGCTTTTGTAATTTTATTCTAAAAAATAAATTTAAAACTTCATATACCATTCGAATTAATCAATTTAGTTTCACCAATGTTTCAGATGATTGGCTTTAGAGGATTTTTTTTATTCTGGAATTTCGCGTACTGGTAATTACTGCTAACAAACGCAGAAAAAACTTCCTTAGAGAGAATTAATCGCATTCCTCATAGTCGTCTACAATATTGGGGAACATGAGTGATGGTCAATACATCTTCACCAATAATGTGACGCTGTTCGTGCAAGAAAGTTTAAATAATACATGTATTATATGTCGACGACTGTGCACATACTTAAAATTTAATTTTGCTCATTATTTTGTTCGAACTTTCCATTATTAAAAAAATGAAGGGACTTATTTGTTTAGTTAGGCATATTATAATACTTCTTCGTTAAAATTAGTGTTATTATGTGTGTATCTTTCGATTAAAAAGTTTTTAATTACTCAAATTGATTTGAAGCAACAAATATGATCAATGGGTCAAAGTATTAAACTTTATTTTATGTTAAAGTAAAAACTGGTAATAAAATTAAGAATTCTAAAAGATACTTAAGTAAAATTATTGCTTAGAAATGCTAAGTCATACTTTCCAGAGAGGCTAAGTTCTTATTTACTGTACATAGACAATGATTTATTGAATCACTTAGTAACAAAAATAAATTATCGTTTTCAGGCTAGACCGCCTATTGACAGATAACGTTTGTTTTTTTAGTTTCCAGGTGAAGACCAGCTAGTTCTGATCACAAACGTTCACGAACTGGTTCGTACAGTATTAACTTTTATGACAGTAAAAACTATAGAGATTAATATAAAAGGTAAGCAAACTTACTGTTTTTACTTTTTTCAATTTCTTCTGCAAAAAACTTTTCTATTTTTTCAGCGAATTTCTGTTTGATGCAGTAGACCAGTAATATGATTAACAAAACAGTACTAACGGTGATTAAGCCTAACCAAAATGGTTCTTCCAGCATCCGTTCACTTAAAGGCTTATAAGGGATACGAAACACGAACTGAGTGCAACGAGGTCCTGTAAAACATTAATTTAAACGAAAATAATTTCTTGAATATTTTTCTGAGAAAGCAAAATATTAAAATAAAGTGACATCTGTTAAAAATAAGCTAATTTTTCTAGCTGAAAATAAATCAAAAACTTAGATAACAATGAAACATTAGTACCATAATTAAGCCAATTCTAAAATAAACTTTGTTAATATATATATTAACGTAATATCTCCACAAGCATAACTTATGATAAGCAATTAGTTGCAGAAGTGCCCATTCTATGATCACAATTTACAATGTTGCAGTATCAAAGAGACAAACGGAAAAAGAAGCACGTTCAAAATAAACTCTAGAATAATAAATCCTTCGGTCAGCAGGTGTGTTAAAATCCTACTTAACATTGTCTCTGACTAAAATAACATTATCCTTAGAAAGACGTAATGATAACATCTTCAGCCCATAGATACACTGTAAACCTTTGTAACCGAAAACTGTCATAATTAAATTTAGATGTTTGAAATCAAATTGCCCTCAGTAACGCAATGCATATTGTTGCGTAAGAGAGTCACATGACTAGTGTGACGCCACGTTTCTAGAACTATCCCGTACCTTGGCGAATGCTCTAGTATTTACTAGATATAGGGTAGTCTGGTATATAAAAGAGGGTGACAACGTGACGGGAATAATG